GCCTGAGTATGAAACTGAATGGATTCCTGACTTTGCTTCTACCTTTTGTTTGGGGAGAGGATACGGCGCTGACTCAATCACAGCTGTGGTGAAATAGTGGATTTCACCTCTGTATATGCAAAGAGTGAACTCAGATGCTGATTTATGACAGCTATGTAGCCAAACTGGGGTTACTGAGAAACAAGAGGGAGCCATTAACATGCTCAGTGGGACCCTGGAGTTTGTAGAAGTAGGTGAACCCTAAGCATCCCCATCCCCCAAACCGGACCCTGGAGTTTGTAGAAGTAGGTGAACCCTAAGCATCCCCATCCCCCAAACCAGACCCACAGGGATTTGGACATGATCAGAGGCCACAGAAGGCTGAGTGTTGGGCCATGGGGGATGGAATGGAAAACTGGGATAGGGAAATGCAATGGAGTATCTTGAAAGTAGGCGTGGCTGTCTAGACTACTGAACAGAGGCACTCCATGCTGCAATGTATTATTGCAGGCCTCAGTGGATTTATAGGAACAGCTCTCACTTCCACACTGGCTGAGAGAGGGAAGAGAGTGAAACAGAAAAGGCTGTTTGAAGGCTTGTTAATGCTAAATACATGACTTCTGGTCAACAAGCAACCACAGCTGCTAGAGGGCCATGAACATTTGTGTCCCAGGCTTCTTAGACTTGTCTGTCCATGTACTATCTGAAACCAAAGCAGGAGTTTGGTTGCCAGATGTGAAATTTTCCCCTCAGCTCTCCCACCCCACTAGTTGGTTTCTGTGGAAGTGCCTGAAAAAGAGAACAAATATGGTATTTGCTCTCAGTTTATTGCACCTTTTTCAGTAAGGGCCATATGCATAGCTAGTGACTATTAACATGGAATGTCTGTGGCAGTATAATAACGCTGAAAACAACTTCCATCGTCCCTGATCAGTATAATGATCCTGCTTCACAGATGCTGGAGATGGACACAGTCATCCGGGCCCCATTCATAAGTTTCCATTTCGAAGTTGTACCTGAGCGGCTGCTGACATCGGCTGCAGGATGAGATGGGCTCTTGCTCTGAGCCAGTAAATTTGCTAATACAAGGTTTCTCCTACACTGACGCTCATTAGTGTGTGGTGATGAAAAAGTGAAATAGAGACTATTGAGTTGTCACACTGAAAATATTAGTATTCTGATTTATTTCCTTTGATTGACACCCTTCCATCATGGAAGCCAAGGGGGCATAACATGTGGTTCCCAGGGTGCTGCCCAGATCCAGAGACCTGCTTAGCTTCAGCAAGGTGCCTTCAGACCACAGCAGAGAACTTTTGCTGTTCATGCACATGCTATGGAGACGGGATGGCCTGTGGCTTTGCAGCCCAGGCATGTGCAATAAAAACACATCTCCAATTGTTACACACCAGGGGTGGCCAACTCCCAAGAGACTGCGATCTACTCACTGAGTTAAAGACTGGCAGTGACCTACCCCCTTTTTGGAGGTTCAGGTCAAAGTTGCTGAGCTCTTTTTAAAGATGAGGAAAGCCCCTTTTTGGGGGGATGTAGGGCAAAAAAAGGGGAACCAAACTTGTTGAGCTTCTTTGGGTAGAGACAGTGATCTACCACAGATGTCCAGTGATCTACCAGTAGATCATGATCTACCTGTTGGACGTACCTGTTATACATGATTGTCTACATGGAGATTTCCTTATTTTTTTAAAATTTGTGAATCAGCCAATGTGTTCTCAAAATGAATCCGGGAGATACCAGATGTTGATTAAACAGGGATTCTCTTCCACCTTCTCATCACCTATGTGCCAATACTTGTCACCCGTGTGTTAAGAAACGCCTTCTTACAGGGGAGTCATTGGGTGATGTTTCCCTGTAGTCTTTTCCCAGACCTGGAGAAATGCGTAAAACTCTTTCCTCATTCCTTGCTCCAAGTCATCCATAGTGTCTGGCTAGCAGCTGGCTCTCACCTTGGTCTTATCACGCACAGAAACCCAGCTAGGAGGCATGAGAAAGCTCTAAGCAGAGAGTGCAAGGGAGTCATCCCCATAAACATGGCAAGGAAGCCTCTCCCCACTTAAGATGAGCACTCAGATAGCTGCATTGCTTAAGGGTCTGGTGCTATTGGTACTCCCTCTTTCTTCTTTATATGGCAGCAACTGCATCCCTACCTCCGAGGCACATAATCAATCATCCTGAACATGAGGGCTGGTAATGGTTGCAGGATGGCTCCCTCCACAACAAAGCATAGCTCTGTTAAGAGAGCATCCCTACACCCGCTCCTCTAATAAGTCCTGAATTTATTTATATCTCATTTTTCTGCAGCTTTACTGAAAACTACTTAATAATATGGACTATATGGAATTGGCGGAAATGACTGGCAGAATCCGTGACCAGGGAGAAGAGTCGGTGGAAGAAGATTGGAAGAAATTCAAAGATTACTTACAGAAATATTGCAAAATTAAAGAATGTTAGAGTGATGATGGATTGAAATTAAGTGGCTTCTAGCTGTACAGGCTTTAAAGTTATATATAGATCAAGATTAAGGATTAGGATTAAAAAGGTTAAAAGAATGGAAAATTGGTTTTTAATAGGTAAAAATTTAATGTTATATTATATTAAGGATTGGGATTAAAAAGGAGGGAAAGGAATTGCTGGACAAACAAACTGAATTGGAATACAAAAGAGGGAGGTATGAGGAGGTCCGGGAAATAAGTAAATGTAAAAGTAGTGATGAAAAGATGGAATTGTTTTTAACTGTTTTTTCTTTTTGTATTTTGTATTGTGTATTTTTCTTTTTATTTTTAAATTCTTTTTTTTATTAATGTGTCTCTTTTCATGTGAAACTTTAATAAATATCATTTAAAAAAAAATGAAAACTACTTAATAATAAAATGCAGTTAAAAAACCCCACAGTCACTTAAATTAATGAAACTAGCAAAGACATAATACATAGTTGGCAAAACTGAAAACGGAGACAAAGGCAAAAAGTTCAATCACCTATTAGAATCCTGCTGGTGGGGGGATGCTTTCAATTTCTGATGAAAGGAGCTTAGAGATGGGATCTGAAAAATCATTGCAAGTGCCCCATGCTTTGTGCTCACTAGTGGAACAATTTGCAGTGGCCCCAAGGGAAGGCAGGTGTACAGTGGTCCCTCGGTTTTTGAATGTCTCGGAAGTTGAATGTTTTGGTTTTCAAACGCCGAAAACCAGGAAGTAAATGCTTCTGTTTTCAAATGCACCTTGGAAGTCAAATGGCTTCTGCTGAGTGTTTCTCAATTAAATTTGCAGACCACCCTTTGTACCTCGGTCATTTCGAACATTTCGGAACGCGAACGGTCTTCCGGAATGGATTACGTTCGAAAACCAAGGTACCACTGTATTTGGGAAAAAGCTCATCTAAACATGACCTGGTTGCAGACCATTTAAGGCCTGAAAAGTCAATGCCAGAATAGGATCACAGAAAGCTGCCATGTGTCTGCCTGGTTGGGATTAAATTCCAGGTTTTGGGGGCTCCCCTTCATTTCTAAATTGTCTCCAGGCACTGGTGAATCACTTCCATTGCCCTCCCATAACTGTGTCCACATGGCACCTCAGCCCCAACCTCCAAATGATCTCATCTATTAGTTTCATGTGTGCCTTACAGAGCAGGAGAAGCAAGATAGGATCTTGTGGCGCAGGCCAAATGCCCTGAGGTGGAGCAGCACCTCTCAGCACCTGTGGGTCTGGGGAAGGAATTGAAGCGCTGATTCACAAAGCCCTGCCAGATGCTCCAGAAGGCGACCCCACCAGATGGGATCAATCAAGGGCAGAACAGGGCTGCATGCTCCTTGTTTCAGTCCAGTGCAAGTCACCCAGCATGATGACCAAGGATAGCCGGGCGTTTTGCCCCTCCCAAGGGGTGTCATTGAGGCTCCCAGCCTGTGTGTGTGTGTGTGTGTGTGTGTGTGTACACAAAACTTTTTTGGTGATTGCTCGTAGATTGTCTTCCATGAGCACGGTCTTGTAAGTTACTGTGGAGGCCATTTCTTGATCCACGTGTTCTTCCATAGTGGAGATATAGCTTTCTGGGCGAGATTTTATCCTGGTGGGGGTTTGCCAAAGTGCCTTCCTCTTAGCTCATTTCTCCTTTCCGCCCTGAGTTTGTGCTTCTTCAAAGTCCACAACACCTTTGGTGAAGGCTGCTCTCCGACTGGAGCGCTTGCAGGCCAGTGTTTCCCAGTTATCAGTGCTTATACTACATTTTTTTAAAAATTGCCTTAAGAGCCTCTTTAAACCTCTTTTGATGCCCACCGGTGTTTCACTTTACATTCTTAAGTTGGGAAGAGTAGTTGCTTTGGAAGACGATTACTGTATTAGGCATCGTTTCGAAAAAACGGAAAGACAGTGCGCAAATACGCCTGGGTGTGTGTGCGTGTGTGCCAAACGGAGTCTTTGACCTGGGTGAAAGTGAGCCTAGTTTCGCCCCCGTGGCGTGGATCTGCCCTCTATGCCGGGGAGCAGCAGGCAGAGATGGCTGCCTGCGGTTTCCCCGCTAGTCGCGGAAGCACCAGGGCCTCGATCCTCCCCGCGGTGGCCACAGAGGGTAAGCAAGGGGGGCAGCCAGGAGGAGCATCTCCCTTCGCTTGCTTGCGCTCTTTCCTGCCCCCCCCCCCGAGAGTCCAGAAGCCGCACCACTGGGAGGTGGGGGCGCCCGGGGGCTGCCCGTCTCGCGCTTTCCCCCAGCCTCTTCTGCAAAGCAGGGCGAAGGCGGCGAGAGTCTTCCTCGCGGTTGCCTGTTTGACCTCCGCTCCTCCCCAGCAGCGGCTGCCTCTCGCCTCGGAAACCCACGTGGCGGGGCGAGAGAGGCAGGGCAGGGATTCCCTGTCTCCGCGGCCCACCCCGCCGTCTGCCGTCGCGGCGCCCGCGGGCAGGGCGAGGAGTGCCGGCGACGTCATGGGGCGGCGGGACGGGGCGGGTCCCGAGGAGCCTCCCGTGGCGGCGTCCCGCCCCCTGGCCGCCTTCGGCGGGTCCCACGTGGGCGCGGGGCTTAGTCTGGCGCGGGGCGAGAGCGCGGCGGAGAGCAGGGGCGGCGCGCCGAGCGGAGGGAGCCGGACCAGGAGGGCCGCTTCTCCCCGCACTCTGGCTTTTCTGTCGGGATCGAGGGGCAGCATGAGGGCGGCGCTGGTCCTCTGGAGCGTCCTTCTGGCGGCAGGTAAGAAGGGGCGAAAGGGAGCCCCGCGGGGATGCCGTCGAAGTGGGGCAGGCGCGCTCCGCGTCTTTGGCCTCGGCGTGGAAGAGATCCCGCCGAGTGCGCGACTCTCTCCTGTTAGCCGACGGGACTGACGAGCTCTTGCCTCTGCCGGAGCCGCGCGTCGGATTTTCGGTCGCACGGAAAAGAAAGGGACTCCTCGTCGCTCTTCCACCCCAAGCGATGCTCGCTCGGAATCCCCTCCCGCTGGCGCTGCCTGCTCCGGCTTCGCTGCACCGCTGCCAAATTTAGCCTGTTTTGATAGCCGATATGGTGCCCAGATAGCGTTGCATGGCTGGGCTGGGTGCAGGCGGATAATTCAGTTGCAGGAGCCCCGCCGGGGGGTGTCCGAGAGTTTTTGCCCGTAAAACGTTAAATGCCGCACCGCGGTGGAAAGCGCCTCGAGGAAACTTCTGCTGAACTCCTGCAAGCTTCAGGCATTGCCGAGTCAGAATGTTTTTATGGCTCCCGAGGTTGAAAACCCAGCCTGCAAATATGCATGGGAATAACAGTGAGACAGGAGTGTTGTGTGTGGCTGAATTGTCTAGACTTGTATTCTGCGCGGGCATCACCGTGTTGGCAGAGAGTGCTTGTTATGCCTCCGAAACATCTGGGCACACTGGCATGTGTGAATCTGCTAGGTATTAATGCACTTGTATGGAAGTGAAAAATGTGTCTGCCTTTCATACGTTGTTTTTTTTGCCCTGTCTTTGGGGTGGGGTTGATACAGTACAGTGTGTGTGTGTGTGTGTGTGTGTGTGTGTGTGTGTGTGTGTGTAGAGAGAGAGAGAGCGCGCAAGTGGCTTCTCTCTCCCCCCCCCCCCCAATTTTCTAATTGCTCTTGGGCAGTTGTGTGATGAAACTGTATGAAAAGCTGGGGCAGGGAGTTGGTGGCTGATGATTCACCCAAGATCCTTGTTTCCAGGTTGGCCCATCCTGGTGAAGGGGGAAGAGCTTGGCGGGCTCAGGAATGAAGTTTACCAGCAGGAAGGCAGAGAGGACCTGGCAAGCGTCCAGTTACTTCCGGCCAGGGAGGCTTTGGAGCATGAAGGAGAGAGAGGTGGAAGTGTGTCGTCTGCAGGGGACAACTTCAGTGAACTCCCTCGAGGTGAGTCCAGGGGCACCATGGGGGAAGACACTCTGCCTATTCTCAGCCACCTGCCTATTAAGGGAGGGAAGCGGTATGGGGGGGTGAGTGGTGCAAATATTAGGAGGCGATTGGAGGGTCCTCTGCAGGATCCAGGTCTTTGAGTGTCTTATCTAGTACGCAGTGCTGGGGAAGCAGAGAAATTGCCTGTCCTGAGTGTCTTTGCCCTTAGTTACATTCACTAGCCAGGGGATGCGGGTGGCGCTGTGGTCTAAACCACTGAGCCTCTTGGGCTTGGCGATCAGAAGGGCGTTTCTGTGTGCTCTGGCTTCCATCACAGTGTTCCATTGAGCACCACACCCCATAGTTGCCTTTGACTGGACTAAACCGTCCAGGGGTCCTTTACGTTTACATTTTTACATTCACTAGCCGCCATATAGCACAGGGTAACCACACCTGAGTCCTTTGATTTTGATGACTCAAATTGGGGAACTTTACAGGGTTGAGCTACTGCGGCTTGGGAGGCAGAGGGGTCAGCTTGGCCATAAAAACTGGAAATAGGAGCTAGTGAAGGATTAAGATTAGAGAAGGGACATTGTTTTCATGTCACATTGCCATGCTATCTATCTATCTATAGATATATATTGCCCAGTCCAATCACTGGTGGCTGCATGAAGCTGTAGAGAACCTCAGGCAGTCTGGACTAGAGGACCATGTTCTGAAGTAGTTCCATATGGCATCTTTTTATGGATTATTTTAACCTTTGGGGATCAAATACACCTCAGGCTCCTCAGAAGAGGCATGAAGAATTCTATGCTTTATGGACCCTATAACTGTCCAGGCAACAAATTAACTTTCACCCTCCTCATTGTGCGGTTCAGCTTTTTACCTGTCTTGCAAAACACATATGCATGGCTGTGTAGCCAGATCGTCCTTGTGAGGAATGGTTTGCTGCTTATCCTGAACGGTTAAGCATAGGCCCCTCTGATGGAGGGTGCCAGGCTCAGTAGTCCAAGAGACAGGTCCACTCTTTTAATTCTGGTGTTACAGGTTTGCTTTTGTTGTCTTTTGCCTCCACCACAAACACATTAAATTGGTCACAAAATTCAGTTGAACTTCAGTGAAATTTACTTCCATTTAAGTGTGCTTGGAACTGGTAGCTTCTCGTCTCTGAGATTTGTTCCTGGGGGGGATGATAAAGTGTGGTAGGAGTAGAAAATGCTAGAGAAGTAGGAGAGTTAAAAGCAGGTGACTTGATCTTTCATATTTGCTTCAGAGCTGATCATTTCTGTTACACGCTAACGCTGAAGTTCTGCAGAGATGAAAGTCTGAGCTGTGTGCACAACCCTGGCTAATAGAAGTGAGTCCCCAGGACAAGGGAGGGAACCAGGCAGGAATGTTCCCACGGAAATTCCTGCCTTATTTGCTTGATGTCACAGTGCGCTGATGTTTTAGTAGTTCCTTGTTTCTATTTTCTGAGCTCACTTTTACCCTAGAGGGCCCCAGTGCCTTTTCTGAGCCAACCACACATTCCAGCTGCCCACAAGACCTTAGAGCTGCATCCTGTTCTGCCCACAACTTTTTGTCCTTTTATCAAGTGCAACCACTTTCCGCAAAGCCTCTGCACTTCAATATAATTACAAAGTCCGATAGCTGTGGGGTCAGGGGACTTTGGTGAAGTTGCCATGAAATCCTGGGGCTTCTGTCTGCTGCTGTGGAATTTGGAAAGTGTGGCTATGCAGAGTTGCTACTTCATCTGCTGCAGGATGGTTCCCACCCTGTTGTGTGGAAACACAACATGCTTTGCTGGAGACATGATGATTTCATGCTCTCCAGCTTCACAAGTGCTCTGGTGTGGTCATAAGCTTACCAGATCACTCCTTAATTTCTTCCTCATTAACTGTTTCTCTCCAAGGACTTGCAAACCTGGCAAGCTCAGGATTTCCCTCATGCTTCCTCCTTCCATTGGCGAAACGTCCTTCCTCTTCTAGAAAACATTGGCCAGCACTGGGGTTCCATAGCAACAGTATTCTTAGGTACAATAAAGCAGGAGAGGCCTTTTGGCATTTGCACTGTACTAGGGAATTCTAGTCACAGAGAAAGCTGAGTGAGAGGAGATTAACTGCTGGGTGATGGTCTCAAAGCATGGAAAATTAGTTATTTGACGCCTTGTGTTGATTACTTTGTGTGGGTTGATCCAGGCGGAAGTATTAACTTTCCAGCCTGTGGGTGCTGTTGGTTGGAGGTGGGGATCCACAGATGACTCGCTGCCTCCCACCCACACAGCGCGGCTCCTCTTACCTTGCTCAGCTTAGTCACGAAGGTTAAGTTGTGCCATCTTGGGGGTTTGGCTGGCTTTCTAGTTCTTCCTCTTTGCCCATTTATGTCCTGAATCTCCTTGCATGCTTTCTGCTAAATCTGGAGGCACCAGAAGAGTCAACCATGGGAAGAGCTCTGAGCTGCTGCTGCTGCTGCTGCTAACCAGGTTGATTGATGAAGACCAGCAGAGTTGCATCTTCTTTCAGCAGGGCTGACTGTGCTTCTGTCGAGTCTCTTTTCATCTTTCTTTCAATAGTCCTGTCTTTCTTCTCCTTAATCTTGGCCGAGTCCTAATGTCTTTTCACCCATGTGATGGGATTGGCGCCCTTGGATGTGTGCGCAGCCTTCCTTCCCTTTCCTCACTGCTGCACCTCATTCTTTCTTGTCTCTATATTTTGCTCTTTTAAAAAAATAAATAAATATCTATTTACATTTTAACTTTTATTTTCTGAATACCTTTGACTTTTTCCTCCTTCACTTCTAACTTTCCTATTCTCCTCCTTAGCTGCTTTTCTTCAGTTCCCTATTCCATATATTTTTGGGGATTTGTGGTAGGGTAAACAGCATCAGTCTTCAAATTCAGAGGACCTGATGGATCTGGAAGGTGGCATGGGCAGGACTTTGTGGTACTTGGTGGGCTGAATAGTTGGTTAAGTCACAATCCCTTTATCTCTTCTACTTTCAAAACATTTTTGGGCCGTTCAGTGTTTCTCTGATCTACCATTTCAGCTAACTCTGCCCCCCCGCCCCCACCTGCCCCTTCAAGGGCTTAACTGCTCTGTAAGTTGATGGGCATGAAGACCCGAAGAGCTTTTAATTGCAGCGAGACAGAAACAACCCCTTGAGATCTGCATCTGGTTTCTTTCATCTGGGCTTCTGTCCAAACTTTGGGCCACTATGAAGCCTATATTGCTACAGAACCTGAGGCCTGTGTGGAAAGGTGACTTTATCAGGCAGCAACAGATGCAATAGTTTGGAAGGGTTGGTTTTGTCAATCATTCTAATTTCCACTTAGAATAGATTTGGAAAGAGGAGAGAGCAGTGGCCTTCGAGTACATGGTGGGTGGCCAGTGACCTACATTGCAGGTGAAGCGGCCCTGTGTGGGAGAAGCTGAGCTGCACACATGATACTGACAGGCCCCAGTATTGTTAGCTGGAATGCCTGGGAGAGGGCGATAAAAGTTTGGCTTGTTCCTTGGCCAAGCTGCTCTGTGCAGATCTTCCTGCTCCTTAGGGAGGCTGACTCCTAGCACACAGCTATTCAGGGAGGAGGGGGCAGGACGGGGGGCTGCCAATAATAGGAGGGCTCGGAGTGCAGCAGAAGCCTCCTGATGGGGCCGAGGGGAATTGTAAAGGGCCTTATGGCTCTGTCTGTCTAGCCTCTGCTTCCGCACTTCGCAGGGACTCAAAGGGAAGGTTCCCCTCCCTCTGAAGGAATATGTATGACTCGAAGGGATGGCTCACTGATTAGAGAGTGGTGGATGTGGTGGGGAGCGCCAGCTGCATCTGGCTGCCAGGTGCCTCTACCTGTATGACACACCCAGTGATACCTGCACGAGCACTTGAACACGGACACTGAAAAGGAGAAGCAGCTACTGGCCTCAAAGTCTTACATGTGGCCCTAAGTCAGCCAGCAGTTAATCACAGCAAAATTAGTTGCCCCCATGCTGCAAAATGCCTGGAATAGGAGCATGATGCTTTGTGCCTGCCCTTTTGCAGAGGCCAGCGCGTACAGCGTGACAGGCTCATGTTAGTGTGCGCAAAATTGATTTCCAGTAGCATGTTTGTGCACTGGAAGTACTGTATGTGTTTGAACAAAGCCTTGTGCTCAGAGACCTCTGCAGCCTGCAGGGGAAAGAGGAAGGGCTATTCCTAGATGAGATCTCAGTTGCTTTTCAGGCACTGTGAGCCCTATCTGGAATGCACAAATAGCAGCTTAGACCTCAACATGCTCAAACAGCACTGGCGCAGCGGAGGGGTGGGCGAATCACAGAAATGACATTGTAGGCCCCCTTTGCTGGGCCCAGCAAGCCCATGCACCAAACTTGGGGTGACACAGAGATAGGAGGGCTCCTCTTCCCTGCACTTGAAGCAGCTTGGGAAGAAAAGATGTTTGGTTTGCAGTTTTGCACCATCCACCGCCTGTCTTGTCAGCTGCTGTATGAACTCCCTGAACACCCTGCAAATGGAACAGGAAGGATGTGGTGAGCAGGGTGGGATATTGGAGTCGAGGCAGAGGAAGTCGGCCACCAGAGTTCAAGGGAGCTCCAGCGCAGAAGCAGCAGCAGCACTGAGGAAGTCGCGATTGCTGGGCTTCCAGTAAACTGGAGGCAGGCAGAAGGTAGATTTGGAATGGACTGGGACACCCACAGTTTTGCAGTAGATTGGCAAGTTCTTCTGACTTCCATCTGGCAAAAAAGTATTTCCCCCAACGAAAGCAAGCTGCTAAAAATGTGGAAGTTGTATTGAAAACCAGGAGTTGATTTTTGTGGGAGCTCAGTTTTAGAATCTGAAACTAATTCTTGTGGTGAATATGTGCTCACAGGTGCCCCATTCCTTAATCCCAGGTTCTTGGCTGTTTTCCCACCCAATTTGTACCAGTTGGTGGACCTCAGAGGTTATAGTAAAAAATAAAGTAGGTTTCATACTCCTGAAATCTGCCCACCCCTACAGAGCAAACGATCAGATCAGATCTAGTTTAATTAGGGGCTTGTGTTTATTAAGTGGCATCACAGCTGAATTTTATTTTCTTGAACAAAGGAATGGGGTATATTGACTATTGTAGAGCATTGTTAGTTTAATTAATATATGGTAACATGAAATTGGTGTTTTCTTTCTTTTCCTAGTTGCTTTCCTTTCCAATCCACAAGAACCTGTGATTCCAGTGAAGGAAGGGAAAGGGAAAAAAAGGAGGAAGGGCAAAGGGAGAAAGAGAGACCCCTGTCTGCGAAGATACAAGGACTATTGTATTCACGGAGAATGCAAATATCTCAAGGCATTAAAAAGAGCACATTGCATGTAAGTTCATCACGGTTTTCCTGTTCTGGGGATGGTCTTTGCAGATAATCAAAACAAATATATATGGTTTTCTTTTCACTGTGGAGCATATTCTCTTTCTCCAGTAGCTCCCTAGAACAGCGCAATAACTGTGCTGCAGGGTTATTTTCCTTTTTAAATAAGGAAGAAAGAGTCAAGTACAGGTGCATTGTGGTCTTGGAGAATGGGAGTTTGGTCCTCAGAGACCTAAAAGAAAACCCCTGTATATAACAGAGACTAGAGACTCCTTCTGGTAGCACCCTGGTTCAACAATGAAAGCTCAAATTTAGTAAGAGGTGGAGAACCTCAGTGCAGTGATTGCTTAGAACTTTTGATTGAGTTTCTTCCAAGTGACTGAGTTTTCATTTGCTGAGCAAATCCTTTTTTCACTAAAGATACAGGCTTATGCAGGAAGCTGGGTGGGCAATTTCAGAAGTATAGGCAACTTTCTGGTTCTGCTCCGGACAACAAAGATGAAATGAGAAAATAAATTAACAGCAGAGATAGCAAAATAGAGATCTAGCAAATAAGGCGCTGGATTGGGTCTGAAGAGTCTTGGAGTCAACTCATTTCCCAGCTGCAAAGGCGTGGCTGCCCCTACCTAGCACACAGGAGTGTTATGAAGATAAGATAGGGAAATCTCCATGTATGCATATAATTTGATTTCATTGCAGTGGAGAAAGTGGAAGTTTTTACTACCAAGGGGACTACAGTAAAATGCTATATGTCCTTGTTGCAAATAACATAACTATTCCCAGCTATGAAAATACCTGTGATTATCCATTCTAAAGCACCCCCTGCCCTTTAGCTTTAGGCTTTACTCCTCAGTTTCCTGCAGAGCACCAAGGGGAAGCACCTTGCTTCTAAGTGCAAGAACTGCAGCATCTTCAGGAAACGGAGCATCAGGAATGTGCTTTGTGCTCCCCATACGGAGGCTTGATTTTCTTCAAGTCGACTTGTTTGTCAGTGCATACCTCCAATGGCAACAACAAGATTGGTAATGTTTTGCCTTGGGAAAGCAGTTTCCCCTGACCCTGAGCCCCTTATCCTTACAATTTGCAAACACATAACAGGGTGGCATAATACAGTATGCTGTATTATGAATTCCAAATCAGTTTTGCCTTACCCAGCCCTCTTGCACTCTCAGACATGCAGAGCGATTGTGGGACTCTCTGCCCTTCCCTTGGCAGATGGCTGCTGTTTTGTTGTCTGCTGCTTTTATTATCATTTCCCCTTTGGGCCCATCACGTCACTGCTAGAATAGGGCCGTGCATCATGTTGGCTGGTTAGCTGAGGTCGCTAGTGCCTGGATCTGGGCAGCAGTGAGCATTGGGAGGCTGGGGTCTGCATCATCCCTCATCATGCCATTCTCCCTTTGGCTTCCTTGTAATCTGAGCATTGGAGCTTGAAGATGACACTGACTTGTGGAATGTGCTGCTTTCAAGCGAGCTCTTTCTAAGCATTAGACATTTGAGCTGAGTGTTTGGAAAGACCCTCTTTCCTTCCTGATTGGGCATCAGTGCAAAGCTGGTTCTATGTTTTGGTGGTTTTGGTTTTTTTTAGTTTTACTCATCCAGGCGGGGGGTAGGAATGTGTGGGAAGATAATTTGGGGAGCTGGCCCCATCACATTCTTTAATTGTGTGAGTAACTGTCAGGACAAATTAACAAGAGACTATCACTTACTCTCTTTAAGAAGTGTGCTCTGTCCCCAAGGAAGACTGAAAATATTCCTACTGTTGAGGGTAGGAAAATGGGAAAGTGTGAGTCAGCTGTGGCAATTCCCCTTCTCTTTGAGAGTGAAAATATTAAGTATGTGGGTAGAGATTAACAGCCCGATGGATGCAAAAACTCTCCTTTTAGCCAAGCCTTTGATAGCTGGAGGAAAAAATCTCTATCCCTTGCTGAGATATTGCACTCTCAAAATTCCTCTGGGGTCTGTAACACAGGGAGACCTAAATAGATTTTCAGCAACGATTCTGAAAGACAACTGTGTGCAATTGTCTCCAGAGGCTGCAACTCTTTAGTAATTTTTAACGTAATGGCTTAATGACTTAAATAATACTTAAACTAATGTCAGTGTATGTGTCTTACTGATGTTAGCCATGTATAGCTGATGGAGTAAAGGCACAAGAGTTCATTGCATGAGTTCTACCATGTAATACCAGATTATATCAGTGGGAGGGGGGTGGAAAAACAGGTGTGTTGCACTTTGAAATGTGAATAGCCTTTTGAGCATTAAACTTAGATGAAAGGAGACCGTCATATCAATGTGACTAGCTATCATTTTATTGCTGCGGTCTGGAACAAGCCTTATACATTGTTTGCTTTTCATCTGCAACTCTAGATGCGAAGAAGGGTACCACGGGGCGCGATGCCACGCTCTTAGTCTTCCGGTGGAGAACCCCTCCCGTAGTTACAACCACACAACTATCCTGGCAGTCACAGCAGTGGTGCTGTCATCTCTATGTCTTATCATCATTGCCGTGTTGCTGATGCTCAGGTAAGCTGCTTGGCAAGGCTGAGAAGAGATGCAGGAATTGAGATGCAGTGCTGTCTTCTGTATGCCAAATGGGGAAAAGTTCACACTTGACCTCCGGTCTTATTCTGAGGTGGATTATGTGAAGTTAGCAAGTATAAAACTGCTGAGAGGGCCAGACCTCCGCAGCTTCAAAGGCAGACCAGGTTCCTTGCTTACCATTCTGGACTCTGCAGAGCTGCTGTTGAATCCCAAGTTCTGTGTTTGCACACCTGGACTGTGATCCTTTATGAGTTCTTTATGAAACAAAGTGCTTTGTGGTCCTTGCTTTGTTCAGTTCCCCATCAACTCCTGGGATATGAATCCTTTACATTTTAATTCCACTGGCTGAGAACTGAGACTTGATGGATCTCTGCCCACCAGTGTTTAACTAGGAATTGCTTGAGGTCCAAATCCACCACTTCGTCAATTTCCCCATGACTTTATTTGTTGTCGCCCTGTTGCTGGGGTTCTCTGGGCAGCCTGCTTTCAGATTAACCCCTTGTGGCAATTGACTTGTTGTCAAAATTTGTAATGAATCCTGCCTTGGTGCTGCTAGTTGGGCTAAGTAGTTTTGGGAACCCGTTCCAGTTCAATGATTCTGTGAATGGCATCCTAGCCTTTCTGTCCTGTTGAGGATACAGTTGAGGAAGTCTGGGCAGGGAGCCAGCGAGTCCCATTTCAGTCTAAGGTATTCCACATCTTGTGACTGGTCCCCTGCCAAGAAATGCAAGTTGGAATTTCTCATACTCAGATCCTAGGATCAGGAAGGTGACAGCAACAGGTCCTTTTAGCCAGTGGCAGTGGGGTGGTGCAATTATCGTACAGGGTTAGAACTGGAATTTATCTTGGTCTCTGTCTTTCTATTTTTTCCCAGGTGTCACAAGCAAGGAGTGTATGATGTAGAGAGTGAAGAGAAGGTTAAACTGGGCATCACTGTCAACCACTGAGATGTCCTGAGATTGCAAGGTAACCCCTCAAGCACATAAGCTATGGGAAGACTGTGTGTTAGTGTGCTGTGAAGAGATTTCAATAAATTCTGCCCATTCTTTAGCCTGAAGGGAAGTTTCTTTATCCCGTGGCAAACTAAAGGATAATGTACGGCATTGCCTCCTATTGATGTACCTGTTTGGGCTGAATTATGGGTTAACTCTTGTCACAAGTTACTCCTTCTTGACCACCCCTGGGAGGCTGAGATGCTATGCTAGAGAGTAGAGAAGCCCCTTTGTAATTACTCAGACAACAGCATAGGGAATACTAATCAATAAGTCTTTGTATAAAAAGGGCACATATTACAGAAAGAAGAAGCTATTGCAAGTTATTACTCATAACCCACTGGTGCAATACTTATGAGGGGGAACACACCCACCCCAGGATGGATTCCAACCCACAAATACTTTATTTCATTTTACTCTCCCAGACTTTCCAAAGCTCTCCTTCATGCTGTCTATGGCAATGTGCTGTGATGCTATGATTGGCCAGCCACTATCACAAAAACCTAGTCTCCACCCTGGCACAAACATGTCACCTGCTGCCACACTAATGGTGCCAGCTATTTTGAAATATGATTGTTCACTACTGATCTCAGAGTGTTCCAGTCTAAAACCACAAATGTATCTGTGTCCCCTAGTATATTTGCCTTTGTCCTACTCACAGGAAACTGTTACACATTTTGCCTCAGATATATGACCCTTGGCACTTTGAGCTGGCTAACTCAGTTTAATCAGGCTTCAAGCAAGTATTTGATAGGACAGCAAGTTGATTATTGACTATTAGGCATATCTGAATCGTGAACGAAACCAGCATACATGAGCTTGTGCTTGTGTTCCTGGGTGCTGTCATAACAGCATCCTTTAGAAGCAGCCGAGGGGGCTTTAGGCCCTGAGGGAAGCTCTGTGTGCTGTGCATTTCTGCCTCTGGATTACTTCACTTGGACTTTGCCCCCTGATCTTCTGTATGGGTGGTCCCCTCTCCAGTGGGTGGCCGGTCCCTGGCCACTTGTTCCACCTTTCTTCTTGTGGAGGTGCCTCTCTCTGGGTTACATGCCTTCTTTAAAACTTTAAGGCAACGCTCTTTACTCTCACTTGCCCTTCTCTGGAGGCTGCAAGATTCCAGCCACAGTCACCTCCCTTCAGAAGCTGCAGGCCATAGCTGTAGCCCTTGGTAATGGGTGCTGTGTGTGGCCCTCAGAAGGCCCTTCCATTAGTTGTGGGGATAGCTGTGAATGCTGGACAATAGGTTTCCAAAGGCTTAACCTCTTTAATCAAGACAAATCCAGAGAGAGAGTGTGCACACAGAGACACACAAATAAATGTATGTATGCTGAATTCACTGCTAGCAAGTAGGGAGAGTCACAAAGTGCAACTGAATTCCACAAGAGTGCATCATTTTAGGTCTCAAGTCACTCATTCTGCACTAGTCCTCATGGAGTAGCTCCAGTTGACTTCAATGGAATTATTCTCTTTCGAGGTGGCAGCCTACATAACTGTTGTGGGGTATGGAGAATAACCTTCTTGGTAGATTTTTTTTTAAATTGCACATGCAGGGTGGGGTCCAGGTAACTAGCCCCATCAGCAGAAAGAAGCCTTGCACAAAGACTTCCATTTGTGCAATGGGGCTTCCCCCATTCTCCTGAAAATTGGCTTGGGGGTGGCGGCAGGAGAGCCCCCATAACAGTGCATAGGGAAAGGAGAGGGGGGTCATTCCATTTGGGAAGCTGCAATGTTTGCACAGGCAGGGCAGTTAGAAGGGCATAATATTGGAGTCTTGTGAGTGGTGCATATTTAGCTTAGATGTGATCCTTCCTTCCATTACATTGCAGGATTCAGCACTGGAGCAGCTCTTATTTCCACAATCCAGTGGACAAAACTCTTCCCCCCCCCCCCAGACACATTTCAGCGTCAAAAGGGAGTTTGTATGAGTGGAAGAGACTGTGTCAGATCTTTGCTTTGTTGAAGAAGCAATTCATCCCCTCCAAACACGAAGATCTTTCCAAGAGAGAGACTTTTCTCCACTGAGTGCTTCTTCCTGAAATGTGGAGCCACAGCCTAAGGAGAAGAGTTGGACTTTGCCTTGGTATCATTGGAAAGAAACATCTTTGCAAGAAGACAATACACCAGCAAGTTGGATTCTTCAGACATCTGCTGAGGATTTAACTGTGAAAGACTTGGACTCTGCTGAAGAAATCTAACTTTGGAACTCTATTAAATGGTGGGGAGTGGGGCAGAAAAACTATTTAACAAGATATTTCATTTTAAATTATATATTTATTTTAGATACATTGTACATATTATTTATTTAGGCTTGATCCTGTAGCTCTGTCATCAAGTGGAGAGGCAGAAGGATTGTGCAGTGTAACATTCTCTAATAAATAACCCTTTGTTATAACTTGCTGTTACCTGAATATTAATTTAGGGAAGAATCAATTAGAATGGTTGCAAAATGATAATTTCTAAATTAAAACATAACCTTCTTGCAATGCCATCATGCAAAAAATGTGGGGGGGGGGGCGACTTCCCAGGGCGGATCTGTTGCAGCTGGAGGTACCCAGGATTTTGCTTTGAGGAGCACGTGAATCAATGTGGAATGCTGGTTGCAAATCTCAGAATGTTTCCTTCACAATAGTTTTATCAAGGTGTCCAGCTGGCCAGTGGGGGCTGATGGGAGTTGTATTCCAAAACATCTGGAAAGTAACAGATTACCAAAGGTTGTCTCACAGGCATACTTTTGCCGAATCAAAGAATCATAGAACTGTAGAGTTGGAAGGGACCATGAGAAATCTTTTGCCCAATGTGGGGCTTGACCCATGGCCCTAAGTTTAAGAGTCTTATGCTCCATTGGTGATAAATATAGTCATGGGCTTTGTGTGATGGGGACAGCAACAGTTGCTCTTGCTGAATTTTAAGCCTAAAGGGATAAAACTATGCCTGGTTTATACCACCCCATGTTGCATACAGGGGTTTACATGCTAATGTTTTGACATATGAAAAAAAAATACATTCTTCAACATAGAATAGATGCAGTCAGGGGGAAGGATTCTGCTGAGACACCTTCCCACTTTATTTGCTTAATCTTGTATGAAAGTGTATACAGTTGTATGAGCCTCATCCCTCAATCTGGAGTGGTGAATCTACGGTTCCAGGTTTATGACCTCAGTGAGAATTAAACCTTTTTCTCACGCAGCATGACTATTGCTATTTATCTCAAACTTCAGGGCTAGGAGATGCCTCAAATAAACAAGGTGGTGCTTTTTTATGAGGTAGTTGGGGGCATCTGAGTCTGCTTTTTAATGAATAATAGACACTTGGCTGAGTTTCCATCTGATCAGTTCTGAAGTGGTTTGACGAGAGAGAGGAAGATTCTCCTTAATGTCAGCCAGTGGGTAATTCTAAATTGTCACACAGGCACAGGAATTGAGTGCCAAGCATGATCAATTTTCCTCTTTAGGAGTTTTTTTAGGAATCCTGTTACACAGAAGCCAGAAAAGTTGAGTTCCTTCTTATCTATATAGTGATGGCATTTTGGAGAGAGAAACCGTTGTCAGCCTAACCTGCCAAATGTGAGGGGAGGACTTGGCAACAGTGGGGTTGACTGTAGAAGATGCAGGTGAGCCACCAAGTTCCTTCTGAGCCACGTCCTCCAGAAGGCAGGGTTTGGGCCTCTGCTAATAGATTGGTTGGAAAAATTGGCTCCCTGCTGCCATAGATCTGGTCATTTCAAGCCCAGACTATCAGTCATTCTCCCCCTCCACCCCACTGAGCTATGTTTTGGGGAGGGAAATATTCCACAAGCTGAGCATGTGGGTAATTACATTTTCTCAATGGCACAGGGCTGCATTTTGAAACCTAGGGGAATATAGTTTGTTGTAATAAGATTGACACCAGGATCCCCCAGAACAGCTGACACAACACCACACATCTGTAGCTCACAAGGTTGGCATCTGGAGAGGCCCTAAATAGAAAAAGCACACCTATAGGAACCAGAGGTTTAGGAAATATCTTTAACGGGGTGCGGTAGGTCCAGCAGATGCCTGGAAGGGGGTTCCTCACCCCCTTAAGAGCGTGAAGGCAATACGTGTTGGCACTCTTGGCATTGGGAGACAGCTCTGATGCTTGTTGGCTGGGCGGCTGGCCAGGGTTGGATTGAAGCCAAGAGCTTCTCATTGCCATGTACCCACAGTTGTGACTTGTGGCTCAGCTTGCTAGGCTAGAGTAACTTTGCATAAGAACATAAGAACAGCCTGCTGGATCAGGCCAATGGCCCATCTGGTCCAGTGTCCTGTTTCCACACTGGCCAACCAGATGCCCTCTCCTCTCCTGTGGTTTCCAGCAACTGGTGTTCAGAAGCTTGTTAGACCCTTTGCCTAGTTGAGGAAACACTAAAGCAGGCATGGCCAAACTTGGCCCTCCAGATGTTTTAGAACTACAGTTCCCATCATCCCTGACAACTGGTCCTGTTAGCTAAGATGATCGGAGTTGTAGTCCCAAAACATCTGGAGGGCCAAGTTTGGCCACGCCTGCACTAAAGGGTACTACATCAGGTAGGTGGTTCCGTTAGATCAGCCCACAGTAGGGTCCTATTCTGCAGATAGGAAAGCAAGTGGGCCAACACCTTGGCTAGGTCATCCCATGCATGCTCAGTTTGCTCATATAGTGGTTGATGTCTGGGAAACACTCCTACTGTCTACCTAGGCTGGCTGAGGTGAAGCATGGTCATCTTCATGCCACCTTGACCTACTTTGACCTTGTGTGCTACTAAAACTATTCTCCAGCATTGCTAGTACAAAGATTGCATCATTTCTCTTTGCATCTGTCTCTGCTGCATTGCACTGAGTGCTGGAGATGGATCTGTATTATATGTATTCTATTAAAATGATTTCCCCATTGTCCCAGCAACTGTTGGTGCAACCTGAAATCTGCTGGCACCTAGAGATGAATCCAATATGCAAATCTCCCCAGACTGTTTCAACAGCAGATCCTGCAGCTTAATGCCAGGGTCCCCCCCCCTTCTCCCCCAGCTGCTTTCCTAAACACCCATCCTGAGGAGGAACTGGAACATTTGCACCATTTTGGTGTGCCATACATGCAAACTTTAAAACTGAAGATTTAAGTTTCTTTCTTCCCTGGGCCTCCCTCCTTCCTTGCATGCTGTTCTACCCACATGCCAGATGAAGACCTTCTGCTCCTTCAGCAGCCACTGCAAATTCCTTGTTTAATAGCTAGGTGACATCACTCTTTTAGCCAATGGTGAGCCCTTCTGAAGCCATTTGGCATTTTTATGTTAATAGTGGCCGTGGGTGGTTAACAATGGAGACTGGCTCATAGGATTAGTAATAGGGCATGAAGCCTTCCCCTGTTCCAGACCCGCAAAGCATGACAATAGTCAAAGTGTTTACAAGCCAAGGATTTTTCATTCGCCTGTGGGAAAGTAAGATAATGAACTTTGTCTACCAGCTAGCAGCACAGCGCTGTACTGAATCTCTAACACTGTTCTTCTCAGTATTGCTGCTGCAAGCAGAGAGCGGAGGAGACGTATTCTGTTCTGCATGATGGAAGCTTGGTTCAGACATGCATGTACTTCATCATTAGTCAACACACAGATGGGAACAAATGAGAAATCTGAAATGGGACCAAACTCCTCCGCTGAATCACTGCAGATAGCAATGTCAGGCCATGTTGTAGTAGTAATGGCTACATACGATTTCCCTCCTGACCAAAATGTGCAGGGTGATCTTGAGATGGAAAATTTAGTTAGGGAGACACCCAAATGCTAAAGCAGTGGTGTGGGAACTTCTAGCCTGGAGGACCAATTATGGATCATAGCTGCTGCGTCCCTCACAGGGGACCTTCTAGGAAGCAGAGCCCACCACTCAGTCAGCTCCACTTCCAAGCACCTCTTACAGTTAAAGAAAAAGATTTCAAGGTTTAGGTTTTATTAGGTCCCAACAAGCTCTTTTGCAAAACATGTTTTAAGTGCAATGTGTAATCAGTTTTAATATTTCCTGGACGGTTTAAGTGTATGAGTTGTGCAGATGGCTTCTGGAAGACCTAAATCACGTCATCTTGTGCAGCTTGTAGTTCATGTGCTTTATTTGTTCCTTTTTATTCTAATCTCTGTTTTCCAACAAAACAAACCCTACTTTGTGTTATCTCTTTTTTCCTTAGTTTTTGTAAAATTCTAACACTGTGCTCTCCCTTCCTCTCCATTTCCTGTTGCCCCCTCCCTTCGGTGTTATTGTTGAAAGTTTCACACTCCTCTTTTCAGTGTTGGGGTGCCTATGGTTTCACGATGTTGGATTTTGCTGTGCAGTACAATTAATATTTTTATTATTAAAGTTTCCCCCTTGCTAGGTCCTCTCCCCCCTCCCTCCTCGCTTGTTCTTTAAGTAATCTAGCAACTGTGTTGCTCACTGCCAGCCTCTTATTACTCACTTGCCTGGGGGGGGGGGGCACATCCCTGTGTCACTAGTTTTCTGACCGATTGTCCACAAAAATCTAGGGGAGGTTATTTCTCCCCCCACCCAATCAAAGAGTCTGGGCTTGTGGGACAACTACAACATCTCCCACTCTGAAAGTCAGCAGACTCAGAAAGTTGCACCCAGTTCTGGGAGAAGTTAAGAGCCTTTCTCTTTTTTAATATTTTTTAAAGATTCCTTGTAGAAACACCTATAGATAGATCTGCCCATAATTTGACAGGCTGAATCCACTCTTTAGGAGCAACTTTGCCTGCAGATTTCATTCACTTATGTGAAAAGGAGGAAAGTCATATAGGTGTTTCTAAATTCTCCATTATAGTCAATGGAGAAGGGGTGGGGGTCGATCCGAAACAGATAGGGTTACTTTCCAACAGATGCAAGGCAAATCTTGTGACCTAATAATTGCCTATACAGTAGTACCTCGGGTTAAGTACTGAATTCGTTCCAGAGGTCCGTTCTTAACCTGAAACTGTTCTTAACCTGAAGCACCACTTTAGCTAATGGGGCCTCCCGCTGCCGCCACGCCGCTGGAGCCCAATTTCTGTTCTCCTCCTGAAGCAAAGTTCTTTTTTTTTATAATAATTTTTATTCATTTTCCAATTATTTTTATACAATCAGCTCATATTTAATCACACAATCATCAATTTTTGACTTCCCTCAGTTTCTCTGCCAATCTTTCGTTAAGATTTCTATTGTTAACGCATTTCTAACCTTATTATTGCCTTTAACCATTCCTTTTCCTTTCTCCTACTTTCTTTTTTACAATATTTCTTAATTTTTCACAGAGACTCTTCAAAACCAACAAGCGTTGTCTGTACATCACATATGCTTTTCTGATATTCTGTAAATCTCCCCCAATCCTCAATAAACTTTTGGTCTTTCTGATATCGAATCTTCCCAGTTAGTTTATC